CCATGTGCCCTACAGGTGAGTAGATTAAGAAAGTGAAATAGGTAGTAGATAGATGATAGACAATGCTGATATAGATAGATGATAGATGGAGAGATGATATGCAATATTATTCAGTCATGAAAAGGAATGAAATTATGTTATTTGCAGGATAATAGATGACCTGGAAGTCATCATGTTAAGTAAGCCAGATATAGAAAGATCCAAAAGATAGACATATACAAAAATACAAAAATGACTATACATACATACATATATATATGTATGTATATGTGTGTAGAGAGAGAGAGAGAAATAGGTAGATAGAAAAATAAATACATATCATTTTCAATAGTATAACTGTTTGAGGAGACTAGAGGTAAGAGGGACAGGAAAAGAGAATGATACAGAGTGAATAATATCAAAATATATTGCATCTGTGTAAAAACAAAGTGTAAGGAAATGCACTGAAAGCTTTTGAATAATAGAGGGTGGGGAGAAAGGCAAGGTAAAGCAATACAGGTGTTTATCTGATTAAAACACAGTATATTCGTAGGTGACTACATTCATAGTCACCTATGACACACAGTATACTCATAGGTGACTATGAGTATGCCCTTTAAAATGAAAAGTAGGAACATAATACAGGTCCTGTACTACAGGGTATGGGTGGGAATGAGGAAGAATAATGGTGGGGATGAATCTAACCAAGGTATGTCATATTCATGTATGGAAATTTCATAATAAAACCCTTGTACAAATAATGTATGTTGATAAAATGTTTTTAAAAATAATTTTGAAAAAAATCCTATATGATGAAATATTTAAGTACTAAACTCCTTTATGTGTATACACTATAGAGCATTATTCTCTCTATATCTGTAAAGCAGTATGAGAACAAAGAATGGAAGATTTATGAACATTCTGTATGTACTGTCAGGTAGTAGACATGCAGCTGAGATGTTTTTTATAGTTTACACTAGGTAATTTTATTATTTTCTCTTTTTTCCTTTTTTTTATGAGTATATCATACTTGTATGGGCATTTATGTATGTGCTTGTAATAAATCTTTATCTTAAGAGTAGGATGATACACTTCATAAGGTATGGTATTTTATTGGGACAAAAAAGTAAATGATCAATAGTAAGACTGTACATGCCTCAATTGTTGGAACTCAAATATCTATCATCCATCCATAGTTCATTGGAAATTCTCACATGTATGATCGGAACACAGCCACAAGAATATTGAAAAGATTATCACAATCATAAAATTACAGACCAAATCATGTCCCTTTCTCAGGTAATTCAGTGCTCCAGTCAAAACATTTGAAGTATATGCATGTACCTAACAGAGAGACTTAAATCCACATTCCTTGTAAACCACTACATTTCAGGAACAACAGATGTTGTGGTGTAAACTGTTTAGATGAGCATCAAGTTCATTTAAGCAAGTTTTTTAGAAAATCAATCAATATTGGCATGGGAACATTGAGAGGAAAATCTATCCACAAATTTGTGACAGTCATTGCATTTGGAGAACACATGTTCAGGACAATAGAATCTTGTGGGAATACCATTAGTAGATTTTCATGAATAATAATTTAAATTTCTGTAAAATATCAGTTGTAAAGCAAACACTGTTCAATGATTTTAATATATGCAGCTGGCATTATTGACTAGATATATATTATAAATAGTCACAGGTAAATATATTTATAAGTGAGATTATGAACCACTAGAGTATGCATTTTAAAGAGTTTCATATATGCCTTTTATAACAACCCTGTAAGTGAAGTAATTATTATCCACATTTTATAAATGAGTAGACTACCTTTACATATTTCCTGCAATCTTATCTTTTTCATTTTCAATTATATTCTTCTGCCCACCCCACTGAACTGGAAATTGAATCCACGACCTTGCACATGCTAGGTAGTGTTCTGTCACAGAGCTGAATCCCAGAAACCTTTCCCCAATAAATAATGAAGTGCGATAATAAACCTGAATTTCCTTAGAGCTGAAGTAAAAGTATTGCAACCCATGCATCTGAAGGGATTGAGGTGAAAATCTCTTGAATCTAAAGGCAACTATGGAGAAAAACTGGAGTTGGAAAATTTCTAGTTGCCGAAGTTGTCAACCATAAATGAGAGTTTATGATCAGAAAAAAAATGGAGAACTAATTGTAGGTCACCAAAGCACAACAAAGAAGAATTTAAAAGCAAGTGCTATGTCTCACATCAAATGTTTTACTGAGGTTTTATTACATTGACATAAACAAAGCTGTATAAACTTAAACATTTAATATATTTTTAGGATTAATTTTAAAAAATATCAAAGGTTGCAATGTGTACTATTGCCATATTTGTGGACAGTGATGTTATTGATTATGTGCATTTAACAAAACCATCAAATTTAAAGCCCATTAAATCCAAATATTAGTGACAAATATTAAATGACAAATAGCTTTTAGGCAAGGTTTTCATATTGCAAAAGAAGAAAATCATAAATTCCTAGAAAGTCAAAACCTATAGTAGGTACATGGCACATATACTTTCTTACTCTGAACCATAAAACTTACTTACAGCTCAGATAATGCAGTACTCACTTGTTACACAGTTTTTAAAATATTGTTGAGTCAAAATTGTTTGCCTCTTTTTTTTACAATAAAATAATATCAATAGGGCTGCTTCATTTGAGACTTGCATATTTTTTGGTGAGGATGTAGGAAAAAGGAAACTTCATATACTATTGGTGGGAATTTAAATTAGTGATACCACTATGGAAAACAGTATAGAGACCCTCAAAAAGCCAAAAATTGAACTGCTGTATGATCTAGCAATACCACTCCTTCCATCTGACCAAAGGAGTGTTAAGTCAGGAGACAACAGAGATACTGACACACCAATGTATTTTGCAGCACTACTCACAACAGCCAAGCTATGGAAACAACCCAAATGCCCTACAGCTGATGAATAGATTACAAATATGTGATATGTGAAATATATATCATATAAATTTGTACATATAAAAATCATATATATTTATATGATATACAAATAAATCATATCTATAGTATATATATCATATATATATATAATGGAGTTTTATCCAACCATGCATAAGATTGAAACCATGGGATTTGAAGGTAAATGGAATACATCATGTTAAGTGAAGTAAGCCAGGCTCAGAGAGACCAAGGTCACATGTTTTCTCTCATATTTGGGAGATAGACTCAATACAAATATAAGCAATATTATGAAATCAGGCTACACTAAGGAGAAGTTATTAATGGAAGAGGAAGGGTAAAAGAAGGAAGTTAAGAAAGGGAATATGGTTAATGTACATTTTATACAAGAAAAATTGTAGAATTTTTAAACCTGTTGAAATCACTATAAGAAGGACACAAAGGGAGAAAGGAGAAAAATTGAGGGGATAATAATATATGACAATTTGTGTTATCATACATATATATGAAATTGTCAAAATGAAATATAGCTATCTTAAACAGAATGCCTTTTTTTCAAAACCAGACAACAGAAAGGTAGCGCAGGTCCTGTCTGGGGATTGGTACCAGGCAGGGAGGGGATATAAGGAAATGGTTTAGGAGGGTGGATATAAAGAAATGTTATGCACCTATGTATGAAAATGAAAAAATGAGACGTGTTGAAACTAATCCAGGAATGGGGGAGGGAGAGATAAAGGAGAATGATGGAGGGGATGAATTCACCTATGACACATTGTAAGCACTTTTGTAAAAGTCACAATGTACACTCAGAACAACAAAAATAGGATAATTTTTAAATACTTGCATATTTTATTCTAAGATACTGATATTTTTTAATCTATATAAAATAGTATCAGGTTATATGGGTTTACTTTTGACCTTATTTTACAAACAGCAAAGCAATGCAAGTGTACTTTTTTATTAGCAGTTGTTAATTTACACATAGTGATTTCATTGTGATATTTCCATACCCACATAATGTGCATGAATATTACATGTTTTCACTCATATGTGAAATCTAGACCAAAAAAATATGATATGATTGCAATATTGGAATGAATGTGGGGGAACCAAAAGGAGGGAAGATGGGAAAAGGATCAGGTGACTGGTTGGGGGTGAATATTATGCAAGCACATTACATACATCCATGAAAATAAGACAAGGAAACCCTCCAAAACTGTTTTTGAAAAAAAGAGTTGAGAGGAGAGGGGGTGGTTAAGAAAGTAATATACATGAGGAGGATTTAGCAAAGTACATAATATGATGTAAAGATAAAATCCCTTTGTACAATAATTTATGATAATATAATTTATAAAAGTTCACTCCTCCTTTATCCTTTCTTACCTCTCCTCATTTAAATTTTAATTGGTTTCATTATTCTATTTGCATGCATGCAACAAGAAGCATTTCCGTCACATTCACCCCCACTTAGCATCTCCTTTCACCCTTGTATTCCAACTGCTTTCTACACATAGCTTCCCTAGTTAAAGCTCATATAACTGCTCTTAATATCCTTTAATTATAACTATTTTTCTTACAAATGGAAGGCTGTTACAATTCTTTTTTTTTCTGAAAAGAGCATGCTATAATGTACTGTAATCATAGACTTGTTCTTTGTAATGTTTCTAATCTTCTAACATGGTTCAGTTGAGTGTACCTAAGTAGGCATGTATAAAAGAAGATGAAAACCACAGAAACCAATAATGCACACATTCTGAGAGGGTTGGGTTTGTCACAACTGAGAAATAATGTTGAGGGTAAATGGAATCAAAAGTGAAAAATTTACTTGTTGGATAGACAGATACAGAATATATAAAAAGTGCCAATTGCCAGTTTGTTTTCTTCCTTTTCGCTAATCTATGTTGTATTTCAACATATGTCCATTAAATGAATGCCTCAGAATTCCAATTCATGAGCCTCACAGAGGACCGAGACTTTAAACAACCATTCCTTTGCATGTATCTGATCACAGTTCTTGGGAACGTGCACATCATCCTGGCCATCAGTTCTATGCCTACCTCCACACCCTCATGTACTTCTTCCTCTACAACCATCTTTGGAAGACATCAGTTTCAACTTCACCACTGTGCCAAAGATAATCATGGACATAGCAGAATCATTTCTTATGTGAGTTGCCGGACACAGATGTCTCTTTCTCTGGTTTTTGTATGTATGGATATCATGCTTGTTAATCAGATCATTTTTGCCATCTCTCATTCCCTGCCTTACTACATGTACTGTATTTATTGTTTAGACTTTCAGATGCTCAGCCACACAAGCTTTGATTCTCTTACGATTTATCTACTTCAAAGTCATGGAAATTTATGTTTATTTTTGTCAAACTTCCCAATTTATTGATCTTACTGGTTTTAAAACTTCAAAAATAACATAGTGAATTATGCTGCTGTTTCAATAGCTTACTTATCTCAGGGGTATTTTTTGGTGGTACTGGGATTTGAACTCAAGTTGTAAGGTAGGTGCTTTACCACTACAGCCACTCCACCAGCCCTTTTTGGTGTTGGGTATTTTTGAGATAGTGTCTGGCAGACTATTTGCTTAGGCTGTCCTCATAAAGCAATCCTCCTTAACTCTGCCTCTCAAGTAGCTAGGATTACAGGTGTGAGCCATCAGTACCCAACTCTTTTCCTCTTAATATAAAATCATTCTCTCCTTTCTGAGGAGGGAAGTATAAAGCCTTTTCCATATGTCAATTGCATTACTCAGTTTCTTACATACTCTATGAAAGAAGACTTTGAATGTACTTTGACTCAGTTGTATGATATTCTCCCAGAAAATGTGACAGTCTCAACGTTTCCCATTGTGATCATCCTATGCTGTATACCTGCAGCTATAGTCTGCAGAAAACAGATATTCTAACTGCGCCAAGGAGGATCAATAGCAGAACTTCTCTTAAGCCTCCATTATCCATTTAGAATATAGTTTGGAAAAACAATGAAACTTACCATATGGTCTTATAAAGCATGCCAATTTTTCACACCATTTTTGCAGTTGCATGGTCTTAATTCCACCATGTTTCACAGTACATTCATCATGGTCAGATTTGATTGGTGAAGAGTAAGTTCTAAAAACAAGAGTACACATTTTCAGTATGAAAAAATGAAAAGTTTCTGAAGATGTATTATGTTGATAGTTTTCCCCAAATTGTGAATGGAATTAATGTTACTGATATGTGAACTTAATATGGTTAAAACAGTAAGTTTATTACAGGTATTTCCCAAATAAATATGGATATAAAAAGAAAATGAATCATATATGTATTCATATTATATAGGTATATCATGAATATATGTTTATATATAATATAAATATATATGAATATTTATATGAAGGAAAGAAGTTAGGAGTACACACAATCTTTACCTGATTAGAGAAGCCCAATCTTATTGTGGACATTCATTTTCTTCTCTCTTCTTATATTAGAGTTAGGAATTCCTTAGAGATTGCTGGAACTTGGACCAATTTGACTACTTATGGCCCCTGTGCATTGAGCCTCCAAGGTCAAAAAAGACTATAACGATCCTGTCCTTTCAGCCTTGAGGACTGATACCTCCAGTACACATGGACCTATGTAAGTATCCTCCTCCATATTTGTCTGCATCAGGGAGACCTAACTATCACTATATGTATCAGTCCTGAAGACAAAATCTGAGATGTCCTAGGACCTCCGGCATGGTAAGGTCTTCAGACTTGCACTTCATTATGGCCCAGAAGAGAGCTGGCTCAACACAGTGAGTACTGAGTGAAATGACCATTTAAAAGTATCGCATCCTCATCATGAGGACAAACATGACAGTCTGGGTACACAAATAGAGGAACTAATACCGTGAAGTTTTTATACTTGGTGTGGTGACACTAGCAGAAATCCTACTCTCAGTGTGATTTCTCCCCATAAGATTCTATACTCAGACCCCAAAAAGCAGAAAATGGGTCCTTTTATCTCTTTCCTTAACACTGCAAAAAGATTTTAAAGAAGATAATAGTGATATTGATGAAGATAATGAAGATGACAGTAACCATAACATAATAAACTTGGGGCTTTCTAAGTTACAGGCACTGAAAATGTGGTCTAAGTAGCTTGTCAACTTTCATATGCTTCATTTTCCTCTTGTTATAATTACCCATATTATGCAGGCACCAGTACTTCATGCCTGTATTCCTGGTTACTAAGGAAGCAGAGACTGGGAGTATTGTGGATTAAGGGCAACCCAGGCAAAAAGTTCATGAGATACAGTTTTAACATAAAAAGCTATGAATGGTGGCATATGCTTGTCACTCCTAATGCAAGAAGCCTAAATAGAAGTATGCAAGCAGGCTTGCCAAAGTAAAGTGAGATCCTATCTCAAAAATACCCAGAGCCAACAGAGCTGGATGTGTTGCTCTAGTGGGATAACACCTGCCTAGAAAGCCTAACAAGTTCATACCCAAGTATCACAAAAACTAAAAGAATGATTAAATGATTCTTATAATAAGTAAAAGAATAATTAAGTAATTATTGTAGAGAAAATGATGGTGCAAATTATTATTATATAGCTGTTTTCCATTGTTAGGTTAAAAAATAAAACAGAAGCCTTATTTAAACTGAGCTGTCTGATTTAAAACAGAGAGCCCAATATCGGGAAAATATTGGCAGATTGAAGACCTGGAGTACTGCAGCATCCATTTCTTCTCCCTGCCAGTTCAGCAAGTCCCCTTGCTCCCTGTTCTCCTTTTGAGATTCCTGGTAGATGACATAACAGAACAGTGGGTGGCACCACCTGAGTCCACTATAGAAAGGACAGCCATAGTCACAGACCAAGATCACAGAATGAGAAAACATGACAAACTACCCCAGGATACTTTTGCTACTGTCAACATCCCTCACCATCTCTTCAATTAGCTCATTTATTCTCAAAAGGAATATAATGTCATATCATGGCTTCATTCCCCTGCAAGAACCTGGAAAGAGTTTTTAAATGCACCTCATATGTACCTGTGGTTGTGACTTCTGGATCTCTTAAAACTTTCTGTTGGCTGGGAAGCAGAGTCTGATAATCTATTTTTGGAGCCTTCCAGCCCCACTTATTATTGCATGGGGAAGTTTTTCTATTACTCTGAAAGTCAGAATTTTCCCACAGGTTGAGTTAGAACTTAGACAAATATATTGAGTGAGGATTAAACAGACAGTGAGCGAACCATATATTGTTAATGTGCGATGTGTATTTAACCTAAGGGCTACATAAAATGCAGATATTATCAATGCCGATAAGATTAATATCTATAACATTCAAGAAAAATATCCTTTGACTTGAAGTTATAATTTTCCTATCTGTATAACAAGATTGTTTTTGTCTTTGTATAATTATATGCACATATTTCAAGAGCAAACTTTCATTTGGTTCTGATTCTCCACAACCTATAGTGTCGAATCTTTTGTCACAAAAGAGCCAGGAAAATAAGAATCTGTGTTACTCCTTGAATAGATCTTTCCTTGGTGCACAATATATATCAATGTGACCTCAACACACTTGGCATTTTTCTGTCCTCACTTTGATCTCTCTCTGAAATGTCTCTTAGAATTACAGACAAGATAAAATAGATTTGGATGTTGTCTATACCATGGACAAAATATCTTACAATAGATTTGATAATGTCTACACAATAAAATTTAAAACACAGCAAATATTTTATGGTGAAATAAAGAAAAATCAACAAAAGAGAAGGGTACAGTTAAACCTTATGCCTTTGGGTGAAACACTAAAGAGCTTCACATCAATCCATTCTGCAGTGCTCTTTAAAACTGTATTCATCAATAATCTTGCTATTTGTATAATGACTGAATGCACTATTTTTGAGAAAATATATATCAATATATATTTAGTGTCATGCTTCCCTTATGTGTCATACATGTTATATAAATGGGGTTCTTCTCCCTTAGGCTGTTCGAAGAAAGAGAGATAGAGACACTCTCACACATTCTGCAGGTACTACCAGATCAATGTTGGTAAGAAATCAGCTTCTGACTTTCATTGGTAGGAACCATCTACTCTCTGGCAGACAAATGAAAATACGATTCCCCATACCAGATGAAATTTCCTATTGTGATGTCATAAAGGGATTATCATTGAATAAAATGTAAATGTATGTGATGGTATATCTCAAGAAAAATAGAAAAATGATTCTGACTCATTTTGAATTGTGAAAAGAAAACTAGACAATTGATAGTAAATTTTAATATGTATTATTTGGTGGAGCTAAAAGAACTGTACCTCCTGGATATGTTGCATAGAAATTTTCCATTCTTTTACCTAGAGAAAACACAGAAAGTTTCAAAAGATTGTTATAATCATGAAGTTACAAGTTCAATGATATCTTAATATCTGGTAATGTAAAGTATCACAAGGAGATGAAAATGATAAATACATGATGTATTTTGTACATGTACAAATTATAATAAATTCTATTATTCTCTATAAATACCTGTCAATGATTTTTGAGAAACAGGATATGACACAGATATATGTTCTCCACAGAGACTTAAAACAATTTGGTGATTTAACAAGAAAATTGATGGGTAATAGATGTTCTTTCTTTACTATTTTGATAAATATGAACTTCTTTTCAGGCAAGTTTTTTGTAGAAAAATGGTTCATGAACAAATTAATCAATGCTGACATGGAAATACTGAGAAGAAAATCTATCCACCAAATTAATGGAAATAATTCCCTTATGAAAATTTGTGAGGTTTAATAAAATAATACAAAAATACCAAGAACATAAATTTCATGGGTAATTTCTCAGGTCTATAGAAAATTAGTTGTAATGCAAATGCTGTGAAAGGCTTACATTTAATACAGATAGTATGTAATATTGACAACAATATTAATTTACATTCATGAAGCATTTTCTACATGTTCAGAAATATTCTAAGACAGTGATTTCCACCTGTGGGCTAGGATAGTAAAACAAGAACTTCAAATACAGTTAATATGATAAAATGTTTTTTTCTGGCCAAAGTATCAACATAATTTGAAATACCCACAGTGGAGTATTTTAA